TACTACTACTACTACTACTACTACTACTACTACTACTACTACTACTATGTCGCGACACCACCACAATAACGACAACTACTAGGGCACGATGCTGCGAGGGTTTTTAGTAAGTGCAGAGGGAAGTTTGGGGCCAGCAGAATGAGGCATCAAATGGCATCAATTTCCACAGACATGACTTCGCCAGGTGCTCTGACCTCAAGTTTTTTGCCTGTAGCCGCTGGTATACACGCCACTCCTTCGTACAATTCACCCACTGAAGCCGTTCTCTTTCTTCTTTTCACATTGCGGGGAAGTGACTCCACTGGCGAACGAGCATTGGGGCAACAAACTGCTAACTACCTACTACTACTACTACGACGACTACTACTACTACGACGATGACTACTTCTACTACTACGACGATGACTACTTCTACTACTACTACTACTACAACTACTACCGCTACTGCTACTGCTGCTGCTACTACTACTACTCCTGCTGATGCTGCTGCTGCTGCTACCGCGACTGCTACTGCTACTACTACAAGTGCTACAACAACAACTACTACTACTACTACTCCTACTACCTACTACCTACTGCCTACTACCTACTATACCTACTACTTGCTACATACCTACTACCTCCTACCTGCTACCTACTACTCCCTCCTCCTCCTCCTCCACCTCCTCCTCCTACTACTACTAGTTCCTCTGCTGCTACTACTACCACTACTACTACTCCGACGACGACGACTACGACGACGACGACGACGACGACGACGACGACCACCACCACCACCACCACGACCACGACCACCACCACCACCACCACTACTACTGCAGCTTATAGTTTCTATATAATTAGTCGAGATACTTTGTTGGGCTGCACTTTTTGCTTGCACCAGGTAGCTTGTTCTTGCTGTTGCAGCAGTTGCAGTTGGCTTGCCGAGAAGAGTCTCTTGTGCACGTGAACCTCCAACTTGCTCGTCTATCGATTTGGACCGTGTACTGCTGCGTTTCCACGCGGCATGCATCACTGTGCGTGAGCAAAAGGGCATTAAAAAAAGAGAACATCAGTTGATTGTCAGCGGCCACACTGACAACCCCTCCCACAAATTGGCTCATGGCAAAGCCAGTTGGTGTCCTTTTGGCCCCCTTGCGAAGACGTGATTAAAATGTAAAGAAGTGATGAATTGGGGTGCCACTTGGCGGAAGTCGAGGTTCCCATGATCCACATCACTTGGAATGGGACTAAAAACCATTCCGACCTGGAACTGAGTCCCTTAGCTGTGGAACTGAGGATCGGGTTCCCAGTTTCGCAGCGGCTGGGGGAAGGGCTGTGGCTGGCCACGGTCACTGCCAAAAAGCAGCGGAAGACGCCGCAGGAGTAACGGCATGGTCGTCATGCGTCCTGCAGTGGCGTGGCATGGCGGCAACACCTCGAAGCGACGGAGCTGACCTTACTGAAGTGGATGTTACAAAAACACCTTAGTGGTCCCCTTAGTGGTCCCCAAATAGATAGTGGCACGGTTTCCAAAAGATTCTTAGTGGGAATCTACTTTTCATGACTTGTCTATCTATTTGGTGGTCTATATACATTATTTATACACCACCCGGTTATCACCGGTGGAGGTTTGGTTTGGGTCCGACGGTCGGTGAACCAGTTCGATTCGTATGTGGTCCGGTCCGGTGAACTGGGCGAGCTGGTGAAGGAGCAGGAGCAGGGGACCGAACGAACAGACTGGAAGACTGGATCCACGTTCACTTCCAAACATGCAAGTGAACCTTTGGAAGACCCGACAGGTCGACACAGGTTGTGACATTGAGGAAGCGCGGAAGAGATCTGGATCCGAAGGCCGCCGTGCTTCTACAGCAATCGGTCCTATCCAGTATCTGACGCTTGTGAAACTTGGTGCCCAGAGTATGGTCAAGTATGTCCCAGAGGTGCAAGTACCACAGCATGTCACACGTGATTGACTTCCTTGTTCTTGGGATATTGAGTCAAAACATGTCAACACCATTATATACTAGAAGTCACATGTCGGGGTGCTTATTGGAGGATAGGGGTGCCCACTATCCACTCACTTAGGGACAGAAAACCACCCCTTTGTAATAGGCTTGGAATGAGTTGGACATGGAACCATGTTACAAGCAAAGGCTTCGACTGAGCTTGGAGCTTTGTTCTTTCAGGGCAGTCCTCCTCCTCCTCCTCCTCCTCCAGCTCATCTTCTTCTTCTGGGGGCTTCAAGCTTCTCACGCTTTTCTTTGTTTTCCACATGGACACACGTGACAAACCATTCCTTAGATCTGCCAGCAGGAGTTCCAAGTCGGCTTTTGATGGAACAGAAGTTACCAATCCATCATGCCAAAAGGGCGAGCAATCTCAAAACTTCTGGTATGACAAAACAACAAGGATCAAAAAGGGCTTCTTCCAAACCCTAGGCCTCCAAGTACCTTCTGAGAAGGTGTTTGGTGTGGGTTTGGAGGGTTCAAATACCTTCTGAGGTACTTGGAGGTGTAGGGAAAGGATCTGAAAGAAACATCTTTCTGTCCAGGCTTCCTGCGAGCTCGTCGGGCTTCAGCATCCTCCAACGACCGCCCCCATCCATCCCTCCTGCAAAAAAACGATGACGAAGATGATGCAAGTCGCCTGAGATTTCAATTCAAGCAAAGCCTGGCCTCGTTGGCCTCCTTTCGTGGCCAGAAGCCGCGGGACCCCGAGGTCAAGGGCGTTTGTTGGGCGAAGCCGCGAAGCCCTTGTCGGACAAACGACCCGACTCTACAGGTTCGACGAAAGTGAGACCTGTGAAACGGGCCCTTCCCAACCATCTTAGAATCCCTAGGGCTCCAACTACCTCCGTTTCGAAGGTGGTTAGGGTGGGTGCCAGGGGGGGGTTAACCACCGAACCTGAGGATATGGGACGATCGGAGCCCTAGGGAATAAAGATGTTCACAAGCTTCCAGATATATACCCTTTAAGGTCGCTCAGAGCGCCGCTCCGAAGCCCCGAGTCTCCGAGAGTGAGAGTTGACCGTTTCAGTGGCAGGTGTCAGCTTAATACAAAAGGCGCGAAGAAACTGAGCTAGGTTATCCCAAGAGAGATTCAGCGACCGGACTCTACTGGGGTACCTATACCTACATGGCGTCAGTCTACAGGGTTCTTCAACCTCTGTTCGCCTTCATAAAACTCTAGATCTTGGGGTCTGGATTCATCCCAAATCCTATGTTGATTCATGTTGAGGGTCTTTCTCTCCCCCTCTTTGTATGGCCATTTCTCGCTTCAGACAGACACCCCCCCGGGTGGAGAGAAGTGGAGGCAGCGCATCACAACTGCGCTCTCTGGTCCAAGAAGGTGCAACATGTCGACCCTCGTTCAATCAATCCAGCCCTGTTTGCGGCAACCATGTTGCACAGTTGGAAGATCCAGGTATGTTGCGGAGAAGAGAGTTGCGGTTGGTGACCACATCAATGTTTCGGAACATCAAAGCCCCCCCAGGGCCCCAGTCTCGTTCAACCACTCGAATCAAACTTTGAGAGTTGGTTACGCCCTGGATGAAAACCCCTGGAGGACAACCGTCTTCCAAAGGTCCATGTTCAGGTTCTATGGTCCACTTCGCAGGTGCAATGAATTGGACTCCCGGATACACCCAGAGTATCATGGCCAGGCCACGGCAGCTAAGCCAGCCCCCATGAAGAATGGTCCCTCTGCGTCAAAGATATCATAGACGATGGGTCCAAGTAAGCAGGCCAAACCGCCACCGAAAGCATCTGACAAAGTGCGACGCACTTGCATCTTCAAGAACACACCGCCATCTCCCAAACCTGAAAAAAAAAGACGAAAAGGTAGGTCATGCAGGCCGCTGGTCTCAGAAAGCACGCAGAAAACATCCACACCTATAGATGTAATGTGCAGTTGATCAATACTCTCGAGCTTGTATCAAAGGGGAGGTTGTTGACAATGGATGAAGATGCTATTTTACAGCTTGCTGTTCAATCAATGATGCTGGGAACCTGAAAAGGGTATCTACTTGATCAAACATCTCTGGAATCATCTGGATCCAAGAATGCTGAATTTCTGCCCATGAATCCAGGTAAAAGAAACAACATACCAGGGCTCACATGGAGCTGGGTAGTGTGGCAGGTGCCATCTTCCGGGACCGTGGATGTGAGTTCGGGGCACCTTTTCTCCATGGATAGCAACCCTGGAAGAAACTCAATGAAATAGAACCCAAACACTCCATGGGACTGCCATATACGCCGATCAGGCCAGGGGTGGTCAATGTAGGCATAGACTTCCAGTCCCATTATATAGTCGTGTATGGGGAATATAGTCCCGCAATGTCCCGCGTACAGTTCAGATCTACACTCCGACGAACAGGTCACATGGAAGTGGTGGACGAAAACCCTGTTCGTAAATAAGGAAAGTAGGTAGTCTTCCAAGGGATGCATGCCATCCACTTCCACCAGGACCTTCCCAGTGACCGTTCGGCTTCACCGGGGCCAACCGCCTCACCGGGACCAAGAGAAGCCTGTCTTCACAAGAGCAGAACCTGCATGCGAAGCTCCGGAAGCCTGGTGAAGCCTGTCTCCCCTTTTTCTTTCTAGATTCTAGATATGATAGAAACATTCTGAGACATCCTAGAACACATGTGATATTAAGATATCCTTTTCCTTTTTCAAGTCGGAGAAGCAGAAGAACAGGCAAATCTCGCTCACCGCGCGGTTCATCAAGGCATTGGCGATCCCCATGGACACCTGGGCTGTAGCTGCCACGACGACATTCGGCATCGCCATACCAATGCTCAAGAGAGTCCAGAAAGCCATCACACAAGCCAACTTGTAGGGCTTGCACAAGATCTCGGCTGCACTCCAGTTGAGCGTCGGGTCGCTTGCATGGGGAGGCGAAAATCCTCCGGTCATAGAAGGTCATTCATTCATTCATTAATGTTCGAAAAAACATGTCCAAAGGCCTTTTGAGTCCCTAGGGCTCCAACCATATATCCTCAGGTTCGGTGGTTAACCCCCCCCTGGCACCCACCCTAACCACCTTCGAAACGGAGGTAGTTGGAACCCATACGGCCATACGGGAGTATATAGATCCCCAGATAATCCCAGATAGAAAAGTAACCTCCCTTTCAACATGTACTGGAAACTGTTACTACTTCCCGTTCTATCTATCTGTTGACCCCTCCACTCCGAACCGTTTTTTTTATCGTTTTTTTTTGCAACACACATCCGACTCCGTCAGAAGCTAATCCGACTCTGAGCGCCCCAGTGATGTGTTTCATGGGGGAATTCTGCGAAGTGTTGAAATGTTGTTTCGTGTTTTTTTGTTTATGCCATCTTGTGGCCCCCAGTTCGTGCCGAATTCGTGCCAGAGAATTCTGAAGTGGTCCAGGAGCATGGGGATTCAGATTCAGTTCCAGACCGACCGCAAAGATTCTAGTCCAAAAGCTCTGCAGTTTGGAATTCCGTGGGGAGAGCAAGTTAAGATCATTTGCAACGAACAAAACTGGGTCGCCTCTGCGTTCGAGTGTCAAGTCGAAAGACCAGACTCCCAGCCAAAACATCGATGCGAAACTTGGGCACGTCTTCGTCACGAAAACGATCCGTACGGCCATTCTGGGCCGAGAAATTGGGAGAAAAAACATGAAAAAACCCTTGGATCTTCAAGATCACGGCTCGTCTCCAGACCCATTGGCCCAGCCGGTACCGCGTGCGGCCCGGGTCCGGCACCGGTCCGGCATCCAAAGTCTGAGCCCATCGTTCGCCGCGTTGGCCCATCGTTGCACCGACGGAGACACGCAACATGAATCCCTAGGGATCCGTTTTCGTACCTTCTCAGGTACGGTGAGGACGGAGACACTGTTATGTAGGTGCCAAAACGTCGGGTCCAGTCGTACCGAACCTGAGGAGAAGGTACGACTCCAGGTACCAGGAAACCCCTGTCAGGCGTGTCTGACAGCCCCAAACAGAGCTGAGGAACGGGGTGTCCATGAACCACCCCCGACCGTGTGCCCTGAGATCTTCCCCCAAAATTTGGAGCTATAACTTTGAAAAGAACATCAAAAACATCCAAAAACACACAACAAATCCCCACATATCCTGTTGACGCATCCATTTGCGGTCCAAGCTCATCCGAATCGGATGTCCTTGGCCCCAGGCCATGCCCATTCTCAGCACAAACTCACCTCCGTTCAACCATACGAAGTACGGAGGTACCATGGACGCTATGGGTTTAGGGAGCTATAATTTTGACACCAAAAACATCCCCACAAAAACTTGATATGCCACCCCACCCCCAGGCCTCCAGTCGTGCCTCCTCAGGTTCGGTATGACTGGACCCTCCTGGCACCCGGGCCCCGGTTCCCACTTCTCAGGTTCGGTACAACTGGAGGCCGGTCCGGGCACATGTCTTGCTCACTCCTCCAAGTCACCGTGGCCAACAGTCTCCAGGCACGGCCGCGTTGGAAGCGCTCCTCATCGCTGGCGCCGGCCGGCAGCAGGGCCATGCCTTGGAGTGGCAGAGTCTCGAGGCACCTGGACAGAATCGAAAACCAATTCCCCAGGCTTAGGGGATTCAACATGATTTCATCCTCCTTACCTTACGCCAGAGGAACAGGATCCCCATCTCGTAAAGGATAAGTCATGGATGATATGATTTCAACATGGTTTTAACAACTTATAACCAGTTCGGGACAATCAAAACCGTTTTACCTGCCCTGCCCTGCCCGGTTGAAGCAGGAGGCCCAGAAAGACGCCCACGCCGCCCGCCGAGCGGAAGGCGCCGGAGATCGCAGCATTCAGCCTGTGGGCGGGGGCCCGGTACCAGGGACCGAAGCCGTTCGTGTGGGGGTTTGGGGTCCTATGGGATGGTCTAGGCCGGGAGTGGGGAGTGGAAGTTGGCGGAATTGGTGGGGTACAAGTAGGTCAGGTGGGCTGGGGTCGGGGTGTGTAGCGCGACCAAATTGGCCGGGGGCGTATACGTGGGGTGCGGGCTGCGCTACGAGAGTAACAGCCTGCGCTGCACGGAGCCTGTGAAGTCAGCAAGCAGTGAGGGCACGAGGACCCAGTAGGTCGCCCCCATGGGTGTCCACCCTGGGGGTCAATCTGGAGTTGGAGTTCAATGAGTCTGACCTCAAAGGAATCTATCCCTAGGGCTCCTGGCCTGTATCCTCAGGTTAGGTGGTATTCGACCCCCCCTGGCACCCACCCCAACCATCTTCTCAGGAGGTGGTTGGAGCCCTATAGGGTATATGGATGGATTAATTTAAGGTATACCGAACTTGCTGGTGCACGACCTGCAAGAGGACTGGAGGCATCCCCTGATTTAACAGATAATCATCAACCAAGCAAGGCTGTGTTTCACTGTTGGGGGGGGTTGTCCAAGTGTTCTTGATCGCCGTCATGTCCTTCATATCGGACATTTGAAGTCGGCCTCCTTACATGGACGGTGTTCACCCGGCCATGATTTTTTGGTCCAAGTACACTATAAGTAAGTACTGGTTCTTGAAAGTTTTTTGATAGGGGCATCTCCTCAAGTACTGGCAAAAGACCCGGTTGTGCTGGCTCTTTGGACCTCTATACGGCAGGCCCTGCACTACGTCGCCTCCCTGGAACAGCCTCCGGTGCCGGTATGCAACAGGTGCTCCAACATCACTGGACCGGTGAGTTTGGGCGAAGCCTCAGGACTTCCTGCCGGTCACTCGTATACGTCCTAGTATGCCGTCCCCACCCACCGTTCGTCTCTAATAGGGCCCAAGTACCTCTGTTCGGGTCATGTCCAATTTTCCAGTCTGTCTCTTTCCAAATGAGCTCCTTCTGGCTGCTCATGACCCCGCAAAACATGCGCGCGCACCAACCGCGCGCACCCAACACCGCGCGCCCGAAACGCTCTTGAAAGACCACGGAGGCCACCAACGTGCACATGGACTGCGCGAACCTCAGCTCCGCGGGACGTCCGCAGATCCGCCGATGACGTTCCGAACGCCGGTGGGCTCCGGTGTCGGCGGTGCTGGCGGGTGCTGGCGGTTCGGAGGTCGCTCTGGACGGGGGGTCCACCGAACCGGAGGGTGCAGCTCTGGGAGCGTCGGGGCTCTGAACTGGGAAGACCTGCAACGACGGGTCCCATCGTTGTCCCCATGTTTCTGGGATGAATCAGTTCGAGAAAAGCATCATCCGATCTGACCGTGATGGATAGTTGGAACGAAAAGGGATGCTTCACTATAGCCCCTCCAAAAGGCAACACAAGGGGAAGGCAAAAAGAACAAAGTTCCCCCCCGAGTGCTTTTGAACCCTCAAGATTTAGGGAAGTTCCGCAATATAATCGAACTTTGATATACACTCCCTGGAACTAACATGGAAGTGGATCTTGGAAAGCAAGTGTCCTCTACAAACAGGAGGTTTTTCACTTCCATGTTAGTTCCAGGGAGAGTACATCCTCCAGTACGATCACATTGACAGCAGCGAAGGTGCCGAGCAACATACCGGCAAATGAGCAAGCCAAGATGGCCAAGAGGGGCACAATCACGTCCTTGGGAATCTTGGGGGCCGGTTTGGGTTCATCATCTTCATCCTCCTCTTCCATCATGGTCAGGGTATGTGGCAAGAGTGAGCTAGCTGGAGCATCCACTTGCGCCAGCGCATAACTGTGAAACGTCGCGGCAGTCATGTTGGTCATCGTCGTCGCGAAGGTGCCTTGGCTAAAAAAACGCATGCCATTCTCGGGAGACGGCAGGCCAACAACAGGGCGGTGCGGTGAAGACCACGTTGGGGAATTCAACTCCAGATCCGGACTTAGATCCTTCGAGATATCATACCCTTTTTCCACTCTCCATCAAAAAAACACCACAATTAAAACAGACTTCAGCCAAAGTGTTTGTCCAACATCACTTGCCCGCCTCTACCTGCCCTAACCTCCTGAGTTGTTACACCTTGAAAAACAACCCCAAACATCCGTTAAACATATTTGTTTGTTGATGGCTGAAACCTTGAAATTTCACAGAAAGCGTCACCTTCCACGCGATGGCATAACATTCTTCCACGCGGCCTTTGGTATTTTTGCTGCTTTTCGTGATCTTCGTGATCTTCGTCCCCCGGCTCTCACCGGTCTGGCCAGTGTTGTGCGTGGCCGCAGAGAAACTGCTCACCCATGAGATCCTGGGACGTCGTGGGTGAAAGGCGTGAACAAAGACAGCGACACAACAGGCTTTGAAGCGACTGGGGAAACCCTGCCATGTTCTGAAGATCTTAGAGACTGTTCACTGTTCATTTCCTTTGAAGATCTTGGAAGGCTGGTTTTGCCGGACACGGCGACGGACACGGCCGACAAGGCTGGTTTCCCGTCCTGGACATGCGGGACCTCCTGGAGGCCGGAGTTCGAAGCACGGACCTTGGTCGAAAGCCAATGGGGTGTGTATTGGAGCCATTCCATCCGCAGATTGGGCGAAACTGGATGAAACTGGACATGTTTACTGGGACTGGCCGCCAAACATCCATGCCACTGCCATGTTTGCCTAGGGCTGGTTGATTTCAGGGGTCCATGTAGGTACATATGCAAGTCCCAAACAGGTCGCGTCTGGGTTTCGGGTGTGTATTTGTGAGCATCAATCGGTAGTATAGCGTCGATGTCCTTTCTTCGCCGGGAGTCGAAATGATGAGAGGTCTCCCTCACAACTCAATTACCTCGCTTTGCTGGAATTGGTCACCAAACAACTGACTGGTGCGACTCGCAGGGAATGAGGGAATGGATCCAATACAATCTCTATTGGGGGCTCATTCCCTTATTCCCTACTAAGCACCAGTCAGACAATTACTTCACTTCGAGTGATCCCCACCATGACATTTCAATCTGACAAATATTCTGGCATGTAGTGAAGCAATATCCGGCATTATTTCTGGCATATCTTCTCACATTCTTTCTGATATGGTTTCTGGCATATCTTCTGACATTCTTTCATCTGACATTCTTTCTGACCTTTTTTCTGGCACATCTTCTGACATTCTTTCTGGCATCTCTTCTGACATTCTATCTGGCATATCTTGTGACATTCTTTCTGGCAAATCTTCTGACATTCTGGCGTATCTTTCTGACACTCTCCCTTACACTATTTTCAAAGTGTCAGGAACAACTCGGAAAGAATGGGAGGGTGGGTAAATGGCACCGCGGGACTCGGGACACCTTTTTTGGCCTATTTTCAGGGGAGTAGATGGCGCAACGATTTTGCTGGGTAATGATCTTGGGCAACGGGTCACACAAAAAAAACAAACAGCACAAAGAAGAATACGCTCCCGTTGGGAGTAGGATGCGTGTGCGCTCAGAATTGATGACGCAACCCGTGTTTTGATTTCTTGCTGCTTCCTTTGATTTCCATTCATGGCTATGGATCTCCTGTTGGTGCCTATTCAATTCCTGCTCAAATCTTTGGATGCCCTGATGATTCCTATTGGTTTCCTGGTGGTTCCTTTTGTTTTCCTTCTGATTCCACTTCTCCTTTCCATGTCCCCACTTCCAACTCCATTGACCTACTGAATTCGAGAGGTACATTTATGCGTTCATTCAGGATGGATGGCGCAACCCACAGCATGGCGCCCATCTACCGTGTTGATTTCCTTTTGATGCCTATTGATTTCCTGTTGAAACAAATTGATTTCCTGCTGATTCCTATTGGTTTCCTTGTGGTTCCTTTTGGTTTCCTTTTGATGTCCTAGTGAAGCCTATTGATGTCCTGTTGATTCCTTTTGTGGGTAGTGATTTTCCCCAACAGTGTCAAGAAAAAATAGATGGCACAAAGGACAATGCGCTCCCACTGGGAGTAGGATGTTTGTGCGCTCAGAATTGATGGCGCAACCCAAAGCATTGGGACCATCTAGCCTTTTGATTTCCTGTTGATTCTTTTTGATTTTTTGATTCCTGTTGATTTCCTTCCAATTTCCTTTGGATTCCTTTTCATGTCCTAGTGAAACCTTTTGATTTCCTGTGGATTGCTTTTGTTTTCCTTCTGAATCCACTTTTCCTTTCCATGTCCCCACTTCCAACTCTATTGATGTATTTGAGAGGTACATTTATGCGTTCATTCAGGATGGATGGCGCAACCCACAGCATCGCGACCATCTACCCTTTTGATTTCCTTTCGATTCCTAGTGATGTCCTATTGATTTCCTTTAATGCCTTTTGATGTCCTTTTGACACCTGTTGGTTTCCTCCTGATTCCTATTGGTTTCCTGGGGGTTCCTTTGGATGTCCCTTTGATTCCTTTTGATTTCCTTTGGATGCCTTTTGTTTCCCTCTCATCTCAAGTCTAGGAACCTCTTCATCTCCTTTCCTTCACTTCTCCTTTTCCTCACCTTCCCTTGCCATTCCCTTCCCGTTCCCTTTCCTTCTGCGTCCACTTCAAAACCCATTGGCCTAGCTTTCAGACCAGTGCATGATAACAAACAAGTAGATGGCACATCCCCCGTGTGAAAGGTGAACATGATAGTTGAGCCGATAGATGGCACAACTAAGTTCCCTCGTCTTCCTGTTCCCCCTCCTTCCCTCTCCTTTTCATGCTTGTATCCTTTCCTTTTCCTTTCCTTGTTTCCCTTCTCCTTTACCTGCCCTTCCCTTTCCTGCTCTTTCCTTCTCTTTCCTTTCCTTTCATATCCTTTGCTTTCCTGCCCTTTCCCTTCCCTTTCCCTTTTCCTTCTGCGTCCACTTCAAGCTCCATTGACCTAGCTTTCAGACCAGCGCATGATAACAGCCAAGTAGATGGCACAGTTCCCTGGCATGTCAGGCAAAAGTAGATCGCGATACCCCTCCACCGGACCCCCCTCCGCCGTCGACCGGCACCTGCGGGGCGTCAGGGCGGCGCTCGCGCGGCCGCGCTGGCTCCGGCGGGGCCGCGGATCCGAGTCGGAGGAGTCCAGGCGGGGGCGGAGGACGCCGTCCTCCTCCGGCCGCCGCCGCTGGAGCATTCGACCGGTGGAGCCGCTCGCGGCGACGATCGTTCGCGGCTCCGAGCGCCGTGGAGAGGAGGGTGACGACAAGGTGACGGAGTGGAGCAGCGAGATTTGGAGTTCCAGGAGTCCCAGCAGAGGTGGGTCAGAACCCCTAACTAGACTGTGCTAGTTCGGTACCTGTCCGCTCGGGTCCTAGTTCAGGTCATGTAACCTCTGTTGGTAGTGGGGGGGGGGTGAGTGGATGATGGACCCTCCGAACCGTCCATGGACCGAGATTTAAAAGGAGTCACCCAGCAGAGGTTGAAGAACCCGAACTAGACTATGCTATAGGTACCCCAGTAGGGTCCTAGTTCAGGTCACTTAACCTCTGTAGGACATACCCAGGGCATCCAGGCAAACCACGAACGTTCGCTGGGAGTCCCAGTGGTTCCAAAGACTAAAACCATAGACCGGTTCCGAATCCCTGGTTCCTTAGTACTCGTGGTTTGCCTGGGATGCACTGGGATAGTGGGGTGCCGTTCTTTCCGAACGGAGGTGAGGTCGGTCGTCGGTGCCCGTAAGGAACATCCACTCACTGGATGGGACGAACCAAGCCACCAGAACTCCATGTGACTCCTGCTATATATATATATGATATTATATATAATATGTCAATAATGTCGATTCTTCCAGTTACCTCCTAGTTCGGATGGGAGTGTGTTTTTTTTGGTTGGGAGACGATTAGAGTGACGGAGATTTGAGGACACCGGCTTCCTTTTTGTCCCATGAACATGAGCCCCAATGTAGGTGACTATTCCAGTAGATGGAGTGCTTGGGATGGGACAGGATTTCGGTTACTAACGACCATTCCATACGCGGATGATCAAAATGGGTTAATATATCACCTACAAACCGGAATCGGCGGAAAACATAGACATCGTGCTTTTTCATGTTCATGCCAGCACCACCCAAAGGGTGGTTATTAGATGGAACATACATCTTCAGGGGGGTCTATAAACTACCACCCTTTGGGTGGTGCTGGTGGAAAGTAATTCTCGTTTTCTGTCGGAACATGCACCTGCAGCTGCCCATGTCCAACTTAGTATGAAATTCCATGTTGTGAATCAGCAGTCCCGCAAACAGCTCTAGATTCTAGATGTGCATGCCTGAAAAGGGTTCCTCCTCCGAATTGCGCCTAGAATTCTCCCCCCTCCGCCCCTTTCAACCAACCCAGGTGGGCTGGTAGGCCATAGATCCGCGTCCTTGGGGTCCTTCTCCTGCAGAAGGGGCTCACATAACCAAAAGCCAAACTGCAAGAGAACCCAGCCATCCAAAGTCGACCACAAGCAAGCGAGCATGCCTTCGTCAAAACACCAGCTTGTTTCAGCCACAGAAACAAACGAAAGAACAAGCAGAACAGGCGCAACAAAATGAAGTTGCGTACGAAATCGTCCTCCTCTTCTGGTTCCGGCATCCCAGGCAAAACGGGCGTCATTCGGCTCTCGTCCAGCTCTCTCTTCGGCGAGCGTGAGCTGTTGTGTCCCACGAAAGGCGGATCTCCTCGAGCAAGTCGACCCACGAGGGAGGACGAGAAAACCGCTTTCTTGGGAGGGACGAACAGACGAGTTCGGTCCGGACCTTTCCAAGAATTCAAATCGACTTCAAGGACCAAACATGGTTGACCTAGTTTTGTAGTGTCAAATCCTACAGTAAATTAAGAGCAATATTGATAAGGCCATATAAGGCCATTGAATATGGATGAATGGAACCCAGGGAATCCATCAAGCACCCCAACTGATCGGCAAAAAACCAAAACGATGCCTTTTGGTTTTCAAGGTCTGGTACTTCGAACCCCTTTTCGAACGATCCCCTGAGAACGAACCTCCAACGGGTGGAAGAGTCCTGAGTCCTGAGTCCTGAAGACTCCATGGAACTGGAATATGTATACCTGGACCCGACGGACCCTACGTACCTTAGAACATGGGAGTCTGAACCTACTACAAAACAGGTAGATCTGTAAGCCATTTTCTGAAGGACGAACCGGTCGACTCCAGTTACTATACTAAATGTGACTCTTGGGATTTCTTCTCATGCGGTTTCATGTACCTCATCCAGTCCCATGGATGGTCTGGGATTGCTACATGAGTTCATGGAACTGGGACTAGCATAGATTCAACAACAATAATATTGTACAATAGGGTGCGTGCCACAGGAGGTAACCACCTTCTGAAGATAATATATGGTTGGAGCACGAAAGAACAGGATCACAAATGCACATTAACTACCACAGCCCCCCCCAACCAACTGGGGTGTCCATTCACCACACGGGGTGGTGGATCTGGTAATGATAGCATTCCTCAAAGCCTCAAAGCTCGATTTTGGCCAACCCCCCGATCCACCACCCCGGTGCGCTGCCACTAGCCCAGTTATCCTGATAGTACTACTACGCCCCCCCCCCCCAAAAAAAAGGCCCGCGGGATTCGTTGCGACTTCATCGAAGTGGCCGGAATTCACGGAAGCGTCACTCAACCGCTCGGTGGTGGCCGGCTGGCCCGGCGCTGTCGGTGGAAGGCCATCGTCATCGATGAGATCGTCCAGGTCATCTTTGAAGCGACCAGATAAGAAGAGACCTTAGCCCACATGAAACAATACTTTATGAATGTAAGATCTTGGATCTTCCAACCTTTGCAACACTTGAAACACTTGTTCATCTATAAAACCAGCCAAACAACACACATCATTCGTTGGAAGGTACCAGGACCCTCCAAGGGGTGTCCAATGAACTACCCCACACTACCTATAGGCTTCCAGACAGGGCACCCCTTGGAGGGTCCTGGTATATATATATATATATATACTGTAGAAAGTACCCCCAATGTAGGTAATGATTCCTTACAAAGTATCTGGATTACGTGTAGTCTCCATCTCCGAGCTTGGATTGGCTAAGAATCGGGAACATCTTTCACCACTTTCATCAATGCACCCCGGAACCGGGCATATCCCCATGCATCTGCCAAACCCAACAACTCAAGACGCTCCATGTTTGCAAAAGAATGGATCTGGCAACATATTGCAATGCAAAAAGTCAACCTGGTTTTCAGTGATGAACAGGCAAACATGTTGCACAGTTGGCCCATCTAGATGATCTGGGGGTTGGCCTATGACCTTTGCTGGTTTTGGGTGGTGAATCTAATTCCAGGTCCATCTGTTGCACCTCCTCAAAACGGCCTTCTCTTCAACGGTGCGATGGACTAGGGGAGAGACCCTCCCGAGAGGTGAGGTCCACATGCGACCCCTACATCGGACGGGTGGTCAAAGGGGTGAACTGTCATGTTCGAAGCCATAGAACGAGCCCCGTTCGTAGCGTCCGATCGCTCCGTTCGTAGCGATGCCAGGAGCCCCGAACGTAGCGAACATTGCTCCTACTTGGTCAGGAATGTGGTTCGATTTCGGCATCTTCTACCAGAGCCCCCGAAGCTCCAGGGGGTTAGTGGACACCCCGAATATCCCCGAATCACCTCTAACGAGCTCTGATTTGACACCCCTTATATACAGGGCCCTGGTACAGTTCTGCTGAGGTTTTCCACTTTGGGACAGGTATTCTGTCAGAGAAACGAACCCACATCCCAGTTTGGCTGGCTTTGAAGGAGGAAAAAACTGCCCTGGAATTCTGTGTTTGTTTTACGTAATAAGGGTGTACTCCCCTTCAGATAAACATGGAACTCCAAAACCACTGAGTCATGACATGTGGAGGAAAATGGTCTTCCACCGGTCAATTCTCAGGTCCCATGTTATTTTGCGAGGGGTTCTACAAACAAAAGATCAGCTCATGAACAATTCGTTTAAATGGTCGAACGGAAGGCTGTAATACTCTGACAGGTTGAGGAGTCCAAACCCGCCTTCCAGTGCTCGGAATGGGGATGGGTCAAAACCTGGAGCCCTGTCCACCATGTAGCTGGCGAACGACCTTCCGACACCAAGTAGTAGGTCAATCGTCCGACGTTCGGGTGCCATGAGGCCATGGCCGCCAAGCTGCAAATATGTACGACCTGGCCCTGTACGGTGGAATCGGTGACCAGCACCACTAGCTGTAGAAATTTCAGCCCGGCGCCCAAACACGCAATGCCCTGCCAGCCGAAGAGGATGTAAGTGGCTCCCCCCACCGTTGGGGCCAACGCGCTCGATAAGGTGAAGTATTGCAAGGTATGCGCCGTGGCCTGCGGAGCGTCTCCCGGAAAACCCGGAAGCAGTCTCCCCTCGGAGCGAGACTGTGGCGGTGGTCGGCGGTTTGCGGCGAGCCCCACCGCGGTTTTGGCACCTCGGGGCCCCGGGGGGGTTTCTCGTGCAGGTTCGCTTCTGGACATGAATCTTGGGGTTCCAATGACTTTGAGCAGACCCCGGACTTATCCAAGAACCATTAAGTTAAAAGGATCCCGAATCAACTAAGGATTATACACAAACCTGGTCAACCATTTTTGTTAACGGTCTTGGAATCCTAGGGAGAACTTTGGCCTTTTGCGGAAACTTGCTTTGCGTGCAGACCCGCGCAGGATACAGTTCCGCCACCACCTCCCCCTGACGAAGTATCATGGCCAAAAGACTCACTTCACTCAGTATGCCAAATATGGAAAGGACCCGGCACTGTAGAAGCACGGCTTCAGCCACTGGGCTTTCGGAAAACGAGCGTTCAGGTCATGAGGCTTTGGCTCCGACGATTCCTGCAGCAGGATCCCAGTGTTCAGACGCGACCTCCGGTGCCTTGGAGCTTTGACATCGCCTGTTGACAGGCGTGTTTCATCAATATGTCAAGAGCATTTCTGTTGGTCGTTCTTCGATGTGCGCACTGTATTTGTGCCATCCGAGATGATCTATATACCTGCAAAACCTGGACCTTCAAAGGGATATGAAAAAAAACAGTGGAGATACAAGTCGTGTAGGGATTCGTTTGGGGTAGTCCATTTTGGAGACTCCGGTCCCAGTTCCGGAGCTGGAGGGTCTGACCATCGAAGCACGTTCTCTTCCAATTGGCACCCTGGAGCTGCTGGTGGATCGATATACCCTAGGGATCCGTTTTCGTACCGAACCTCAGGGCACCTACGACTGGACCCGACGTTTTGGCACCTACATAACAGTGTCTGAGAAGGTACGACTGGATCCCTAGGGATAGATTATTTTGCAAATAATCATAACAATTCAAACAATCCATGGATCTATGATGATCGTCGTGAAGCCGAAACCATTCGACCCAATTTATAAAAAAATACCTTCGTAAAACTTCATCATTGTTCAGTAAAACCAACTACTGTATAAATCAATGGTGGGCCAGTGAAATCCCAAAGGAATCTAACGGACCATCGTTTTGGTCTGAGGCTGAAACCATCCAGCACTGGTGGGTATCTTTTTTAATGGCAGTGGTTCATGTCACCTGGACCCCTTCAAAACCCTGGTAGGTCAACGTGATCTATATTCTTTTCCTTTTTCCGTGGTCGCAGTGGGTCATGGCACCGGACCCACAGCCTCACCCAGGCTGACCATGGGGTCTCTTCTCAAACCTACCGTGGATTTTCAACGACGAACGTCGGGTCTCCGCCGTTTCGGTGTCGAAACCGGTCGGACGGTCGCCTGCTGTGCCATCATCTCCGTCTCTGCGAAGGACACGAAGGACACGGCGTCGTACAAGACAAAGAGCTCGAAGGCTTCCACAATCACCAAGACCGCCGCCGCCCATTCCTCGTTCGGCAAGAAGATGGACCTGATGCGAACATGTTGCAACACCAGGACCGTGTTCGCGAAGATATCCCAGGATGTTCGGTCACTTAGACCTGTCAAAGGTCACTGGTATTAACCGCCCAAAGGATCCTGAGCACCGAGTGATGATCTGTTTGGGAAGCATGGAGGGTTGGTACCGTAAACCATCATGTACCTTTATCATATGGGTCATTCACCATGTCAGGGTATAGGCCTCGAGATGCCTCACCCACCGAGGCCGTCAAAGGCCATAGGATCCCATCTACCATACACCAATAGGAACACTATAATAACACCCTGGAAGAAACTTAACATGGAACCTGAAAACCACTGGGGTTGTGAAGGAAAATCGTCTTCTAGAGTTCCATGCCATCAGGTTCCATGATGTTCCATGTGACTCTTCCCGGCTTTCACCAAAAACCGGAGCTCTGTGTCCATCCCGGTGGCCGGATGTGGCCGGTGGCACCAGCATGACCCGGTGTCTCGCTCCGTGGGCTGGCTCGGGGTCGGAGGGTGCCACACTGCCCCGAGGACCGTGTCCACCCGGCGGACACGCAGTGGGTCATGTGCCACGTGTGAGAAAGACCAGAAAACGCGAGGGACATGCGTAGGACCCGAGGGAAGTCGAGGTCACTCAGCTTCTAGCTGGGTCATGACCTGCAGTCGTGTCAAAAAGAGCTTTCTGCTTTCTGCGGTCTGAGCGGCGGCAGCATGACCAAGAAGGACACCAAGACAAAGACCAAGGTCATCCATAGCCCCGAGGAGACCAAGAGCTGTACTGCAGGCGTTCGCAACTGCACCACCTCAAGGAACCATCTACAGCGTCCCTACAGGGTGGGAGGCCATCGCTCCTATAGGGGGAAAAAATATCCCTACACCTCCGTTTTCGTACCCTGTCAGGTACGAAATAACTGGATCTGTAGGGTGTGTTTTGTGTTGCTTTCCTACAGAGGTCCCGTCACCAGGGGTACCGAACTAGGATAGTCGAACGTTCGGGGTCTGACCCACCTCTGCTGGTTCTTGATGGCCGTTCTTTCGTCAGGTGAAGGACCTTGGACCTGCCCGATGAAGGACGGTCACCCGGGCGAGGCGGCGAGTCCGGGGGTTTGGGGGGATGGAGGGCGGGGTGTCGAACGTCCTCGGCTCAAATACCACCTGGTTCTTCAAAGTGACCTAACTTGATATCGCGGTTTGAGGTCACAAGTTGGGGCCTTTAAGTAATATAGTTTTTATATTTATCTATATATATATATATCTATACCAACACTCTCCAACAGGTCTCCTCTGCAGGCTTTTGCTGACCTAAAAGTCGCAGGTGGTGACCTGTTGGAGGGTGCTGGTGCATATAAGGTCACTTGGGGGCTCCCTTTGAAGAAGTTAAGTTGGCTGTTTGTTATTCAGAAAGGGTCATCCAAAAATGGGACCATTTTCCCATCCATGAAGATTTCATGTACCTGTACGTCTTAGGTGACACTTCTGAACGCCCCAAGACGCCCTCAAAACGAAGCAGACTCTCTCCTGAAAGTCTTATATGAAAATGGGACACATCACATGACCTGAACCCAAAAAGGTATGACATGGTATATGACTGGACTGTACCCATTTTCGGAGGTACGAACAAACGACTCCGAGCACGGCCAAAAATCCAGGTCGCGCTTTCGCCGCAGAACCGGCGATGGAGTTTCTGGACATCGCTCGATGGAGCATTCGAACAGACACTCCATGGGACTGGAACATATACCTATACATTGGCCCCTTTTCCAGGACCTTCCAAGAGGTGTGTATAAATAGCCTCTTACAGGTTAAGCGGTGTCCAAAAGCCACCGGACTTGGAAGGTGCTGGTTCAACCACCCCAATGGGACTGCACATATGCCAGTCCCATGGAGTGTCTAGATGTGTCTAGTGTTGGCGCAACAGCCCGTAGAATCCCAACCTGGACCCTCCAAGAATCATGTTTTTAGGTCATGTGACGCCACACGGCCCCTGCGCGAGCAGCCCATCCAAGAGCAACTCTACGAGAACAAAAACAACTCCCCAGACGGTCATGGAGAGTAAAGGCGCAAGCATTGATAGCGCACCCAAGTGCCAGGCAGGCCAGTTATTTGCTTTCCAATGGAGTGCTAGAGGACCCCAAACGTAGCTCAAGCACATGCCACCAATGAATGGATTGATCACGACCAAGGCCACATACCTGGCAGGGCATTCTTGCATGTTGAACAAACCGATGTCCACAAGAACGATACTAGAGGTAGCACTGGTCTACATTGATGATCTTCAACAAAAGTTACATCCAAGACCTTCCAGAAACACTGTATCTATATAATGGATCGATCTCTCTCTCATATATATATATATATACCTGGACCCTCCAAAGTACCTTAGGAAATGGGACATGAACCTATAAACACAGATACTTGTACCCATTTTCTGAAGTACTTTGAGACTCCAGGTGTATATATTATATATATAAGGACCTTCCAACAGCTGGTTCTTAGACACCCCTCAGCTAAGATGTAATTTATAGACACCCCTTGGAGGATCCTGGTATACTTTAATATTGTAAGACAAACATTATATAAAGTATATGTACTATGTATAGTATGGTGTACTATATATAGTATGGTGTACTATGTATATACTATGGTATAGTCCCGGTATACTATGGTTACTTTATATAATATGGTGCAAAATTTCATGTTTTATAGTATGGTGTACATTGGTGTACTATGTATATAGTCCCTGGGGATCCACCGCCGCCACCGTACCTCAGGTTCGGTACGACTGGACCCGAACATGGCGCACATAAATAGTTTAAAGTACCTCAGAAGCTACGTGGCTCTGTAGAACTACATTGGGGTGGTTGATGTGCATCCCATGGAAGCCTGAGGCTACCTGTTTCATGACGACAGCTCTCCACCCAAAGCTGGGGGGGGACCTGCAAAGAACGGCGCCCCAGCGAGAAGGCCGGAGCTAATGCCCCGCCCAGGGGGGAGATTCACCCAGGAACTGGGAACATCAAACAATCCAGGAGTCACATGGAGTTGGGGGTGGTTTGGGGTCCCCCGTACATGTGAGTGCATGTGACGTTCAGGCACCCCGACTCCCCTATCCGGCCGTCACGAACACCCCGTGGAACATGATCTTCGGGATGATCCACTCCGCCCAAAGCAGTTCGGTACTTCCAACCCCCCAAGTGAGTGGATCCCCGACTTCCTTGGTGACAGTCTCAACTCGACCCTGCCCGAAAACCAGGTGTCAAAATGTGTCAAGGTACTTCCAACACCAGGGAATGCCATCTTCCTCCTCTTCGCTCTCATCGTCCATGACTCCTCAGTTGGCTCGTTGGCTCAGCCGAGCGCTCGGCGCTAGAGATGACGCTCAACCAATCGAGAGATGGGCTTAGACTCCACCAGCACCCGCTGGTGGTTTTCACGGAACACTTTGGTATCTTTTTTACGGATCACATCTAAGTTGGGAAGCTACTAGGAACAAGTGCATCGCTTCTAGTAACAAGTGCCTTACTAGTAACAATAATCTATGATATAAGTGAATTACACCAAGAGGACGGATGTTTTAGGCGAACATGAGCTTGTTTCATGGCTTGCCGATGTTTCATGGTTGGAACCCTTTGGAACACGTGACATGTGTTCCTTCTGTTTAGGCGAACATGAGTTTCACACCGATGAAACTAGACGCGGATGTTTCACCCCGTTCGCCCAGACAAGACTGGGGTGCGCGCTTGGTCAGTTGCTCATAGCAGGTTTTTCAAAGGGTTTGGACCGACGGACCTGCCCTCTGAGCTACGGTGAGCGAGCAGGGAGACTCGTTTATGATGTAGGCACCGTGTCGAAAATCACAGTACCTCAGAGGGTGGGTGGATCCTCAGGGAGGTATAGTAACTTCACTCGCAGTTCCATGTCGGAATGGTCGTCCCATGGTGGAGTGGATGCGAATGGCCCACGAGGAGGATGCATTGGGGAGGCCCACGAGGAGGGCCCGAGGGCCCCACCCTTCGTTCGGCACCTCTATCGGACTTTAGTCGGTACAATCCTCTTCCCGTTTGGCAGTCGTACCGAACCTGAGGTTCGGTGGGACGACCGGGTGTCGGGTCCAGTACGACTGGAGGCCTAGCGCTTTGATCTTCTAACCGAATTCTGACCCTATAGGGATCCACAATACTACCTGTTACGACTGGACCCTGGTGCCGACATCAGTTCGTGTCTTCAATCACCCTTTCAGAGGATATGGTGGATCCCGGATACGCCAAGGCTCCGACAAGAGCGACTCTGAGATGGGTGGCACGGGGCGGTGAATTCGGTGTGGCTTCTTCTACGAAGCTACGAAGCGCGTTTCAAGGCGCCCTACATCAGGTGAAAGCTTGGCCTTCACCCAAAGAGATTGGATTTGCTTAAGGAACCAGAAAAAAAATATAGTATAAATCTGTTCCCCAGGTTTGGGGATTTACCTTAAGCAAATCCAGAAAACAAAGTGTCTTGTTCTTGAGCCTTCATAAGGCTAGCAGCACAGGATCTGTCAAAATGGAAAACCCTGTGGGGATCCCTACTCTGCCAGACCCCCGCACGATGCAAAGATACATGATGGACATGCAAGAACACACCAAACAAAACCGCATGGTCAAAAGCAAGGCTCAAGGGTTCTGAATCTGCTGATATTGACCCGTTCTTCAACCGCAACAATGTAGGACCAGGATATGTTGGCGCCAATAGGCCAGTCCCATGGATGGTCTGGGTTTGGATTCGCTTTGATGCTTCGATGGCCGGATGCTACGAGTCCATCCATTTTGCTTGGGCGCATCTCAAGAGTGAGGGTCCATATGATGACGCGTTGTTTTCCCTCTTGAGGTCTGTATGCAGGTACCTGTTCTTCATCAAACTTGTCAAACAACGATCCAACGTTCGCGGTTTCAGAACTGGTCCACAGGTCCACAGGTCATTCATGTGCTCAGTCGGTCACCGCTCCAAAACGCAGGAAAACGGCCCGTGTGCCTGAAAACAAGCCCGGACTGGGCTCCAGTCGTGAAAACACCACACAAGCCAAGTCATTCGTCCCCCTTACGCTGCACCCGACATCAGATCCCTTCAGTTTGCAATTGACGAGTGAGTCCCCAATGTCTTCGGTCACCTTTTTTGGGAGACCTCAATTTCACCAATACAAGATTTGGAAGAACCTACCGGTACCCAACTCTTTTAAGGTCTGGTGGCTGACGTGGAGACTTCAAAAGGAATGATGACCAGCCGTCAGGTCCGTAGCTGGATCTTCCCGTCTGCCGGGAAACCGTACGACAGGTTTGGGTGATGAAATGGCCAACACATTTGGCACATTCCTGGAAGATCTATACCCCTGGGCCATCCAAGGGGTGCCCTGTCTAGAAACCTATAGGTCGTCTTGGGGTAGTCCAGCCAGGACACCCCGAACAGGATGGTCCTGTTATAGGTATGGCCTGATGGCCTTTATACCTCACCCCTGACGACCCGGAAGCCTCAACGAACGCTGAACAAACGCTCCGGTTCCACCTCCGCTTCACATCGTCCAAACAGGTCCCAAAACGCCTTCTTAGTCTGATGAGTCGACTCTTGAGCGACCATAAACCCTCCCATTTGACTTGGACATGCTCTTCATATGGGGGGTGAAAATATCATCAAGAGTCGACTCATTAAGGGTCCGTCCGTTTCGACCGAACCAGCCCAACACCGGCCATACAAATCTAGGACAAATCCGATTTGACAAATCCTCGGTGTTCTCGGTGTTTTGGGTGTTCCCGGACCACGTCACGTCTGCCCAAGACAACAGCAGTGGCCTTTCGTTCGGGTCCTTTGGAGCGTTCCAGCCGCCGTCGCGGGAGCGACGGACTGCGGCGAGGCAGGGGAGGTGGAGGTCCTGGCGCTCGGAGGGCAGTTGGGAGTTCTCCTGTCCCAGATCCTGCACCAGGGCCTATACCAGGACCCGACTCTACAGGTCACCAATAGAGACCTGAGACAGGGTCCAACAACCCTCAACTAACAGCCTGGCCAGGAGGGTGCTGGTATAAGGCCCTGTTGGAGGGTGTCCAATAAATCGCCCTTTTAGAGGTGATTCGGGGTGTGCCATGAACCAGTCAGCCCGAGGATGGACGGGCCCAGCTAGGTAGCTGACCCCGATGGACGGATGGACAGAAGCCGCCGATGAGCTGCGTCCAGTTCGCGGAGCTGCATCACTCTATGTACCCAGACGCGACCCATGGGACTGCCATTTTTGCCGCCCCATTGACCCCTCTGGCACCACCCCAACTGATCGGTAAATATGACATACATGGAGTGTCTGGGATATGCTTTTGTTGAAGGCCGAAATGAAAAAACACGTGCTTTTAGTGCTTCTTCATGTTTTTTTGAGCATGGAACGAGAGTTCGGTTTGACCCAAGGTCCAATTCATGTGGACCTCATTGAGGATGATTTTTCTGTGTCAAAGTGGAACGAACAGTCTGACCTGTACAGAGTCTGGTCCAAGTGTGGAAGGATTCGTCCTGTACACGCCTGGTTTGATGTGACTCCCCGTTTTGGAGTGAATCCCCTAACCTGCCGTGTTCGAGTCATGTCGGGGTTTAGGGTTTGGATGTGACCAGGGCACCCCGAACCTCGGATGAACTGCTGGTTCGATGGATTTTTCTGGTTCAGACATACTCCACTCCAAGCCCATGCCAATTGAGGGGACTTCAAGTCCAAGGATTCATCCCAACTGGGATTCCAACTGGTTTTAATCCTTTTGTTCCAAACAGATCAACATGGGTCAACCTAACTAAAATGCTCAACTGGACGGGTAACGGCTACGAGCTACCTCGTCTTCTTCTCCCCGAAAATCCTGACGGTCGGGTACCCTGTATCCCTAGAGATCCAAGTACCTTCTCATGTACGGTGATTGGAGACTATTTATTAAGGCGCCAGGAGGGCCGAGTCGTACCGAACCTCAGGTTCGGTACGTGGATCCCTAGGGTATGATCTTGTTGGAAGATGCTTTTCCTCCACCAACCAACCGGCGGTGGGTACACGTTGGGTTCAGGCGTCGGTCATGCAGTCCTGATCGGTGGGTGTGCCACTGGGCGCAGGAGATCATAGGTTCCCCAGGGGCCCACATAGATAGAAACACAGAAGCCCTTTCAACATACATTGGAAACCGTTATCTATTTGGGGACCACATATATCTCTGAAAAAAGCAACATCTGCCAGATGTTCTCGAGATTTTGACCAGATATCCCAGCCAAATCCCATTTTGGGCGGTCTCAAAGAACTATCCAAATCTCATCCCAATCGAATCGTTTACTTAGATTGGCTGAATAGGTCGAGGAACAAAAATGGAGTCTCAGTTCGTACCTTGGAAAATGAGAAAATGGGTACAGTTTGTCTGTTTATGTGCTCATGTCCCATGGAAGCTCCAAGTCTGTTCCAACAGGTAGTAGAAACCAGTGACATACATGAATCAGTTAACACATATGTTCCAGAATGTTTCAGAAACAGGATGCACCCAGTTCCAACAACAATCCACCCAACAATACTCCGAGACAAGAATAAACATCGAGCACCTGCTTGGCCCTCGACTGGGTGTTCTGGGCTCCTCGCCCGGAGAAGTCCTCGCCCGGTTCGCTCCGTGCCCACGGCCCAAGGCTCCGAATTGGAATACATGCGCGTAGCTAGGCTTCTACCGAGCAGACGCGTCTGCTGCTACGAGTAACAAGGGCATCACTACTAGAAACAAGGGCATTACTACTAGTAGCAAATAGCTACTAATAGCGTCCTTGCTCCTAGTAGCGATGCCTTGTTCCTATATTATGTGTAGGCCGATTATATTTCTGCCAGGAGTGTCCGGGGTCACAAAGGGGTGGTGGTTAGTCCCTGAGTGAGTGGATAATGGGCACCCTTATCCCCCAATAGGCACCCCTTTGTGACTCCTGCCTGGTATAGGATTATATAAATAGGCATATCAATGCATTGCAACAAATATATAACGCTCCCTGGTTTGTTCAAAGTGACAGAAGTTGATACCCCGGCTTGAGGTCTCTGTAAAAGGTCACTTATATGTACGGCCTCTAAAAAGGTCACTTTGAAGAAGCTGGTCAATAACTATATATTATATGTACCCATGGAGTGCCTGGGCTTTGGTAGGCGCTGGGTGTGTATCACGGACCTGAGTGACCTGTCAGAAGTCAAACAGTTCCGCAAACATCCCCAAACAAATCCACCTCTCTGGCAGGGTATGTGGATCTTTGGTGAGTGACAAATGAGATTACCTTGAAAAGCATGTCAATGTCTCACGAACTTCCCCTCAAAACCCCTCAAAATGACCCCTGCCCCTTCCGTTCATTCAACTTAAATCCACCCACGGGCACAAAGCGCCGGGCGCTCCTTGGTGCTTCCAACGTCTGTGCCCGTCGCAGGGCGGGTACCGTCGGTGAAGCCGAAGGCCTGAGGAGGGTGTATAGGGGAGACTGAGGACGGAAGGGCGGCAAAACGTTAAGTTTGAGGGTTGAGCGAAGAGGAACAGGCACGGCCTGGGGATTGAGGAATAGACATCGATCTATACCTTAAGTGAACAGAACGACACATGTTCTCCAAACAATTGGAAGATTCTAGGCGGAAAATTTCCCGGCACAACCACAAGGATCATGATCTGGTAGGCGGTCTTGAAACCACTTAACCTGGGCCCTAGACTTCCAAGACCATGAACAAAACATGTTTGACCTGGCTTTTGAAGTGCTAAGGATTCGGTCTTAAGCCTATTCATGGTGGGCCCGGCGCCGGCGCCGGCGCGAGCGGACCTGCCATCGGCCGGTGCCCGCTGCCTGCTGTTCGTGGGGAATCGCTGTGGCTGGCTGTCCTCCAGCGAAACGGCCAAGCATGGCGCCGGATAGGACCCCATCTGCGACATGTGATTTTTCACAGGTCGGACACATCAGGTGGCCGTGGAATCCATACGGAAGGGTTTGAAGTTCACTCCGGCTGGGGAGAACTGCTGACTGAGCAAAACTTCACGAATTCCCGAGCTGGGGAGAGCAACAACTACCCTCTGGAAGTGGATGGCACGGTCACTTGGAAGACTACTTTCCTCTAGCAACAGGGGGGTTCCACTTCCATGTTAGCAACACCTAGATTTGCACAAGGCGTCCTTTCAGAAAACTTTATAAACCCTAGGCCTCCAAGTACCTCCTCAGAAGGTATTTGGACCCTCCAAACCCACCCCAAACACCTTCTCAGAAGGTACGACTGGAGGCCTAGGGATAGGGATTTTTTGTTATTCATTGGCGTGGTGTCTCGGCCATGTCTGGGCGCCGCTTTGGAGTGGGTGGAGTTTGGAGTATGAGATGGTTGAGAGATCTTTTCGACAGAATCTTACCCAAACAATTCCTGGACGATGTGCCTTCG